CCTCACAGTGGTGATTTATGCTGTGTGTGTGTGTGTGTGTGTGTGTGTTTCTGCTGATGTATGTCTTCAACTTTGTGGCATTTCTGCCTCAAAACAACATTTGACGTTCACAATTCTCTATAAAACTGCCTCTAAAATTGACTGAACTGCTTAAAATTCTAAAGAAAATGTTAACAAAGAAAAGCATCAATGGTAAAACCTTTATCACACAATGGTCCATCCYGTCCTCCCTCTCTGAAGCCAACATGGGCTGTATAATTCCTAATATTGAGAAGGAGAAACATATTTGTCTGTTTGGTTTGTCTGGTAGGTGACCCTTTGCCCAGAAATTACATTTAATTTTATTTTTTTATATATTTGAAGCAGCAGAGGACTAGCTAAGGTCACCAGTCAGCATGTCTGCCCATCAAGATGATAAATTGATTTAGGCCATCAGTAACTGGGRTTCTGAAGCGCTTGTGGCGAGCGATTTAGGAAAGCAATGGAAAGGAAGACAGGAAGGAACAGTGAACAAAGATTTGATCAAGAAAAAGCGCTGAGAAATTAAATAAGGAGCACAGCAGAATAAAAGAAAGGACAGGGCAATCTGTGATGACTAAAAATTGAGAGAGAGCAACAGAAATGAGGGAAAGGTGTTTTTTTTTTCAGGAAATCCCAGTCATTTCGTGTTTAATCCTGTTGATGTTGCACAGCTGAATGCATGCTGCAACCCAGACATCAATACGCTGTCTGGGGAATACTCAGACACACAGGCACACGTGCATTATGGCAGAGACTGGTTGTTGGTATCTGAAGATAAAGAGGAGGGGATCTAATGTTTATTGGTGGAAGGGGTGGGGGGTGTCCCAACTGGTTATCAGCTGGGCTCAAGCTAGTTGAACACCGAGGGGCTATCATTACCCTCTTGACTAACACTCATATACTCAGCGCTCTGGGGCATGTGTTTAAAACATATGGGGAATGAGCCACACCTCTGCTCTAACTGTGAGAATCCCTCTGGGACACACACACACACACGCACACACACGTATAGGCTCTGCAGAGCCCCTCGTCTGAACCCCCACCCCCACCCCCCACCCTTCCATCACTGCTGGATGTGTTTCTGTGTGTCTCAATGAGTGCACGGCCGCATATGTTTGTGTGCCTGATGGGAAATGAACACATTTCCATAGTAATTACAGAGCAACTCATTCCTCCTCTCCAGTTAGAAGTGTCATGACTCATTAGCGCTGCAGTCTTAAACAYGGCAGAAAATCTGACACAGCCGTGGTTTTTGTTTCCTCCCGACAGCTGGGTCCGGGTGTACGTGTGTTCGGAACAGATATTTAATACCTTCCACTGAATGCAGCTGACCTCTGGTTCATCTGTTAAAGACACTAGAATTGGACTCAGGAGGACAATGTGGAGACCGTTTTGTGACAAAACAGGTCTTTATTTTCTTATTTTTATTCCTGACTTGTCACAAAAAGGCATGYATCATACCAGAAACTGAAACAACGTCCAAACACTGTCCTTTCTTCTTGTATTCATGGCAGACTAAAAAAAATTATCAGAACAATTTAATATTTTTAGAAAACATGCACAGTAACCCTTTTGTGTGTCTGTAAACCAATCAGTGCCAGTGTAATTTCCTAAATATAATATTAAATGTAATTTAAAGTGCTATAAAGCACAACTCTTTACTGAAAGCAGTGAAATATGCTATGAAAAAAAACAAGCATTTCATATATGATAATAGTCAGAAGTGACCTTTTAAATATTTTTTCAAGAAACCTTTTTGGTTACAACAAAACCACAATTTTATCTCTGTAAACCTGTCCTCACCAGCTTGCTACAGTATTACTCCCCCTTTTCTAAGTATTAGAGTTACATCAGCAAAAGGTAACACCAGTCTAATTGAACAAGTAAACTTAAATTATCCTCATTGTTTTTTTAATGTACATACAATGAACATAAAATTATATCTTTGTTATTTAAAAATAAAGCCTATTATTCTATAAAGAAACACATATCAGCCACAACCTTTTATGCCAAAGTTCTAAACAAAGATCATTTATGTTTAGAAATGGTCCAACCTCGAATATAAAGTTTTTGAACAATCCCACCTGATAATGCAATGT